GAAAAGGAGAGATACAACCTACTTGGGTAACAGAAAGACCTCCAGGTACACTGTATAGGGTTACAGAATCTAGTTTAGGATGCATGATTATATTTTTTTTAAATGGTTAAATGCATTTATTAGAAAAATAAAACACCGTGAAAAGCCATTTTTAGTATTATTTGTGAAAAACCATTTTTAGTATCATACTTTTATGTTTACCGCCTCATAAGTCGCATGCTTTTCAACCATTAGACGTTAACGTATTTGCTCCTATTAAAAACAACTAGTAAAATATGTTAAAGACATGGTACCGTCATGTCTTAAAAATGTAGATAAAGCCATTTTTCCAAGTCTTTTAAAGATATTTTAAAGAGTCTCATTCAAATCTAATCACATAATAGGTAGTTTTATACCTCACATAATAGATGATTTTAAACCTGGATGGTGAACCCAACCATTTTGGATAGTAAATATGTTTTAATCCAATCCAACATTTCAACCCAAACAGATCCTAAATATGGAACTTTTTAAGCTCATGAAACTAATCAATCAAATAATATTGGAAACGTCATGAAACCCTCTAGCAATTCAGATTGTTCAAATTCACCAGGCCCATTAGTTAGGGTATAACCAATAAGAAAGTTAAGGCATGCAATTATAACCACACTACTACCTAATCAACTTGAAATTGTGAATACAGCTTTGAAAAATTCTAAGACAAAAGACAAAGGGTTCAAGCGAGTTGTGGAGAAGTTCTTACAATTGATGAAGTACTAGAAAGGTTAAAAGAAGAGTAAGTAAGAAGAAACATCAGCTGACATTTACAAAAAAATGGGTGTTAAGGTTAGTTTTAGTCTAACTAAAAATACTTGACTAAATTTTTAGTCTAACTAAAATTAATTAACTAACTTTTTAGTTAACTAAAATTAGTCGACTAACTTTTTAGTAGGGATGTACTAAAGCTTCGGCAGTTTTGCCGAGGCTTCGGTTCGGCCGAAGCCATGGTTTTTTTTTGCCGAATCATTGGCTTCGGCAAAATATTTTTAAGTTTCTAAGCATTAAACTTTTTTATGATTCTAAGCTATAGGTTAGAATCTTTAATTACTTTAAAATATTTTTTGGTATGTTACAGTATACTTGGACATTACTAAGCTGGCGTTTGACTGAGGAAGACATTTTTTAAACGTTCAAACAACGTCTGTTTTTTGAATAAAACGTATTGTCCATAACATTTAATTTGTCCATAACAACTGCTTCAACTAGACTTGAAATTTTACCCGTTATTTATAAAATAGCCTATCTTTTTTTGAAATTTTTCAAAATTTCCGGAAAATTTCTCGAAAATTTCCCAAGTTGAAAAATTTCGTGAAATTTTCTTCCCTACCATTTTTTAAACTTTAGTCATTTAGTCAGAGTATCAATTGCATACAAAGATCGTTTACTACTTATAGAACATATATAAATAGATTAACTGAAAAAAAAAATATTTATTTCAATCCACCAAAACGATAATTATCAAATTATTTAAATTGCCTATCTTGTTATGTATATTTATAAAAAATGTGTTATTTTTCCACAGAAAAGTATTAATATTGTAATATTGATCTAAGTGTCAGGAAATTATTCTACGACCAAAAGCAAAAATAATTCAAAATTCTTTTTGTTTGTTCTATATCTTTAAAAAAAAAAAATTTTTTTGCACTATGTAAAATTGGTTAATAATCAATACTTAAAATTAATATCAAATTAATATATTTTCAAATTAAATAATAATATTACAAGAAAATATTGTGATATTGACAACAAATTTAAGGGAAGAATCTCAGAAGGAAAGAATATAAGAAGGATGAAACTTTGTTATATTTATATATATTTTGAATTAGGTTCTGTTCTAAATAGGGCAACTTGACGAGAAAATAATATATTATACTTATATATTATATTTTGTTATAATTATATATATATAATTTTGATAATTTTGATCTTTGTTTTGGTCATAAACTTAATACTGTCCATAACAAAATTACTTTTTAAGTTATATTAGTTTTGTAAATTAAAAGTTAAAATTGTTTTGAATTATTGTTAGGCAGCAATTTTATTAATGTCATATATTTCAGAAAAGTAAATTATTTTTTGTTTAAGAATCATAAATGTATAAGTATAATGTATAATGTAAAATTTCACATTTAAAATGCCCTTCACTATGTTTTATCTAATTATGAAATAATAATAAAAAAAAAGCAAAAAAAATGTTTATTGAAATGTTTATTTTGAACATTTTTAATGTAAAAAGTTTGTTATTAAAGATATTTTTCAAATATTTTTAATACCCATTGTTTTTTTTAGTTGCAATTTTTACTTAATACCTAAAATACGACTTTTTCAAAGCAAAAATAATAGATACATATATAATAACTTAAAATCTTTTTTGCAAACAGTTGTAAAAAAGTTGTACCAGAAACAGCAAATATTTTTTTTTTATTTGTGATGCTAAAAAGAAGTTTTCATCCCCAGCAATTTTCATCTCAAGCAATTTACACCATTTAAAACTTTAAGTCTGACCTTTTTTCCAAAACCCAACCTTAGAAATAGGAAAAAGAAAAAAAAAAGTAAAACTGTGTTTGTGCTTGCATTCTCATTATAGTAAGCAAGAAAAACGCCATATAAACCTCAGATAACTTGTATTGGCAGACCCAATAGTTGCAGAGCAGACTGCACCAACTGTGGATGCAATCTTCTCGATTTCAGCCAAAGATGCATCTCAAAGAGAGGTTAATTTGGATCAGTTAAATAAAAGAAATGCCATTAGTTTTAAGAAAAGATAAATGTACAATAATTATTTTCCCTATTATTATTTTAATCTGATTGGCATTACAAAATATAAATAAGATAATTTTAATTTATAATGTAATTTTTAGGGTCATCAGCTTTCACAGCGTATATATATATATATATATATATATATATATATATATATATATATATATATATATATATATATATATATATATATATATATATATATATATATATATATATATATAGTTGCTTAAAAAGGTGAATAAGCTAAAATTCTTTGCTGAAGCTGAAAAATAATCAGAAACCTTTGCCGTTCCTTTTTAACTGATTATGTTTTGAAAATTGAAAATTTCAAATCCAGTTTTCTGAAGCTCCAGATTACTGTCACTTCAAAGGTTTATGCTGTTTTTCATCATGTTCAACAATTTATTTATCTATTTATTTATTTAATAACTTTGTACATGTATAATGACAATGTACGGAGCCTAGTTGATCTAAGCTTTAACAGTCGATTTATGTTTAAAATCAGTCCAAATTTGATTTAAATTGTTTAACTGTTTTAGAATCTACAATGTTTTGATCTAAGTTACTCTAGCTGTTAATAACACGGTTTGTTAAGAAATAGTACTTCTTTGGATTTTTAGTTAATTGTCCATGAAACCTCATAAACAATTGTGACCTTTCGTATTTGAAGCTATTAAATCTGGTGGGTATTTCAATGTTATGTTATCTATTTTATTATGTTATGTTAATTTTTTATCAATTTGTCAAGGTGAAAAAGGTTAGCCTGGGAATGTATAGGAAAAAAGCCACCAAAGCTTTACATTCTTGTCTCAAAAGTGATTGGGAAAGATACAAAAGTTTATAAAAAAAGTTATAAAAAATGTATAAAAAAGTTATAAAATAATAATTGTTGTAATATAAAAAGTTATAATATAATAATTGTTAATAAAAAGTGTAATAAAATAATTCAGAAATTGATTCTGTATATTTCTATGTAATATTTATACTTTTTTGAATAGAATGGCTTTTTTGGGGGAATAGTCTATAAGTTGTTATAACTCGAGATAAATAAAAGTTGTAGAAAAATGTTAAAAACTTTGTTGGATTTCAAATCAAATTTTTGAAATTTCATTATGGATACTTTATGGTATACAGTATCGCCACTTGGGATTTTTCATCACTTTAGGGTCTCAAATTTTCAGGCTGCCTGTC